TTTATTTCTTTATGGCTTGTGGATTCCTCTGTGCTAATCCCAGGTGCTTTTATTTTGCTTGTAACCTTTAAGCTGGACCTCAAGAAAGCTATTCTTGGTGCTTAAGCCTTGTAGTTGCTCTTTTAAAATCTAGCAATAGCCTAAGTTCCAAATGTATTTTCTTTCTTTAAAAAAAAAAAAAAAAAACACCTTTTTTAAGAACAGGATTGGATTTTTGTGTCTTAAGATGTTTGTGTACATGTTGTTAAATTAGCTGGTGGCAACAGCTGATTTCCTTTTCTTTCTCATCTCTTCCCCAGAGAGGGGGTGAAAGGGCTTGAGGGTACCCCACAGGAAGAAATTCCTAAGTGCATCTTCCTGGGCTCTCAAAGGGGTTCTGCACTTGGGTAGTGGCAGCATCTACCAATCCAAGATCAGAGAAAAGCTGTAACCTTGGGAGATTAATATAAGCCTGGAGTGGCCAGTAATAATTTTTAAAATCCTTGCGGGCTCTCCCCACCTTCTACACTCAAAGTGCCAGAGTGGGTAATTAGCCTTGACATGGTATCACTCAGAATTCCACACAATTAACACAGCAGTGTCTGCTCTTACGCCCTGTAACCAAGGGTCAACTGAAAAGAGGAGAAACAGAGAAAAGAAACACAAGTCCTCCTCTGAGTCCCGGACTCCCTGGCCTTCTGCAAGCTGGGGCCACTTTCCTCTGGGCCTTGCCTCAGGATGGGACCGGACAAGCCTCCACAGACCCGGCTACAAACACTCTGCAGGACTCTTTGCCTCTCCCTGGCTCAGGGGCTGACAGGAACCCCCAGCTCTGAGAAGTCACAGCTCCCTGCACTGCAGGTTTCGGGACAGTATGAGGGGCAGTTAATAGGCACCCACAGCTCAGCCCTCTCTGCTGCCCCACTAACTCCCCCTGGCTGTGTCTCTCCCACTCCCTTACAGTGAAGCCCTGATCCCCCAAATCCTCCCTGCTGCTTCATCTCTGGTTCTGGGTTCATTCCTCTCCATGGATCTGGCTGAGTCCGTCCCAGCATCAGAGACGGTTTCCTGCTCTCTGCAGTGACAACTGCCCCGGCATTGGCTCCCACATGTGTTTCTGGGTCATTGCACAGCTACCCTGGGTCTCTCACACAGTTCTTCTCCCCCTGCCCCCACCCCGAGCTCCTCTCCCCGGGAACTGTGTTCACTGTCTCCTTCCCCAGAACTCATGGAGACCGGTACCTGAGCTGGGCTTTCTGATCAACTAGGCAGCTGGGTGAATCAGACTGACTTGGGGTAGTGGCTACAGACCATTGACCCTGATCAGAAACTCTCTGATTGGCCAGAGACCCTATCAGACCCAGGATCCCAACTCGGTTTTGGCCCCTCTCCTGTCATGGGGAGAGGCCAGTCTTACAAATCTACCCCATTTTGGTAAGGTTCCCCCTGTCACCTTACAGCAGCATCTAACCTTTAGGCAGCTAGCCACCCTGTGGGATTCACAAGGCCTGAGTTAACTGTCAGGCTTCCTATGCACTGCATGGTATAGTTTGTAGTTAATAAATTAACCTATTATAAGAGACTAATATGTCTGAAAAGTAACGGGTTAAGAATATCATAAGGTTTTGAGCTGAAATGCAAGAAAACTACAGGCTTAGACCCGTAAAATATTTAGCTTAGGCAAATTAGGCCATAGGATAAATTAGCCAAAAGCGAACTTGAGCCATAAACTCAAAACAGGACCAATCCCCAACTAATCATCCCAGCCAGGGCTTTGTCAAGCCTTACCTTAAAAACCTCAAAGGAAGGAGATTCCACCGCCTCCCTAGGTAACATATTCCAGTGCTTCACCACCCTCCTAGTGAAAAAGTTTTTTCCTAATATCCAACCTAAACCTCCCCCACTGCAACTTGAGACCATTACTCCTTGTTCAGTCATCTGGTACCACTGAGAACAGTCTAGATCCATCCTCTTTGGAACCCCCTTTCAGGTAGTTGAAAGCAGCTATCAAATCCCCCATCATTCTTCTCTTCTGCAGACTAAATAATCCTAGTTCCCTCAGCCTCTCCTCATAAGTCATGTGCTCCAGTCCCCTAATAATTTTTCTTGCCCTCCACTGGACTCTTTCCAGTTTTTCCACATCCTTCTTGTGGTGTGGGGCCCAAAGCTGGACAGATCTCAGATGCATTATTTTTGTGGAAGTTTGTGTACTCATAGCATGAAGAAGCTGCAATGTGGCTGAGAACCTGGAAGAAAACATTTTGTTTTAAATTCAAAGAGCTATTTTTCCACCGCAGTATATAACATTTAAAATAAATATAATTTTTGTCTACTCAAAATGATGTTCCCAATTCCTAACACAAACCATATCATGAAAAAATTACATCATGAAAAATTAACACCATAGAAAAATTATGCTAATCTCTGACAAACACTCAAAGATAAAATGAACAGAAGAGAAGGGATGGCATTACAGAATGTCCATACTGTACAATGATTCTGAAAATCAGTCCTTCAATTTTAGCCCAACGAGAGAATAAATAAAAATATTCTAGGTGATGAATCAACTTGGTGTGAAAGAAAGTCATCACAGTTCTGTTATGGGATTAAAAAAACATATGCTGATTAATTCATTCTTCTTCGATTGAGCAAAGGCAATGAAATGGAGAAATATCTCTTTTAATTTATTAATATCCGTTTGAAGGATAGTAGAATCTGAGAAATAAAAGGGAATTTACCAAATTCATTCTGGAATTGGTCTGCAAAGGAACAGTGGGATTAGATAGTTAAGGGTTAATGCCTCTTTTACCTGTAAAGGATTAAGAAGTTCACCTAGCCTAGCTAACACCTGACCAGAGGAACCAATCGGGGGACAAGATGGTTCAAGGAGAAGGAGGGAATTGAGTCTCTTTGTTGTTAGAATCAGTTTCAGTTTTGACCGGAGTGGGAAAGCTCCAGAAATCAGCCTTTTATCAAGTAGTGAGTATTAGTGGAGGGAATAAATAGGTTTATGTTTATTTTCTTTGTAACTTGTCTTGGGCATTAGGGAATAACCAAATTGGGTATTTTTTGTGTAGCTAAGTTTTTGCCCAGGAGAACATCCTCTGTGTTTTGAATCTGCTGTCTGTGAGATCAGCTTGTATGCTATCTCCCAGAGGGTTTTCTTTTACCTTTCTTTTCTTTAATTAAAAGTCTTATTTTTAAGAACCTGATTAATTTTTCCTTGTGTTAAGATCCAAGGGGATTGGATCTGGACTCACCAGGAATTGGTGGGAGAAAGAAGGGGGGGTGGTTAAATTCTCCTTGTGTTAAGATCCAAGGGTTTGGATCGGTGTTCACCAGAAAATTGGTGAAGAAGTCTCTCAAGGCTACCCAGGGAAGGGAGTTAGTACTTGGGAGTGGTGGCAGCAAAACCAGATCTAAGCTGGTAATTCAGTTTAGGTGTTCACATGCAGGTCCCCATATCTGTACTCTAAAGTTCAGACTGGGGGTGAAACCTATGACATGGGTGAATAAGTATGACCTTACTTTTCTGAAGGAGCTGTCCCTGCAGACCTCCCCAATCATCGGCTGCCAATTTTCTCATTCATCTTCTTTTTTTTATAAACCACATTTGAACCATCACCCAGGTTCAGGAACAGCTTTGAATCTTGCATTTCACAATGAAGTAAAGACCCCATGCTCTCACAAACCTGGAGACTCAGCCCACACCCCACTGACTTCTGTTGATAATTGCCCTTCTCACAGCCACCTACTACAATAGACACCATATTGATAGGCTCGAACCCTCAGTCTATACCAGGAACAAAAATGATACCCACAATCTACAAGTAATTTGTACTCAATCTGATTCAAACTAAATGAAAAAAATCAAAGTAAACATAACTTTCTTTTTCCCAAACTTGTCAAACCCACCAAATAGCTTTCTTTGCCATGGTAACAAGGCTTGTGGATAGGAGGGAAATGGTAGATGTGGTATATCTTGACTTTAGTAAGAATTTTGATACCATCTCACAGGACCTTCTCATAAACAAACTAGGGAAATAAAACCTATATGGAGCCACTATAAGGTGGGTACATAACTGGTTGGAAAACCATTCCCAGAGAGTAGTTATCAGTGGTTCACAGTCAAGCTGGAAGGACATATCAAGTGGGGTCCTGCAGGGATCAGTTATGGGTCCAGTTCTGTTCAATATCTTCATGAATAATTTAGATAATGGCATAGAGTGTACATTTATAAGGTTTCAGGATGATATCAAGCTGGGAGGGGTTGCAAGTGCTTTGGAGGATAGGATTACTCTGCATAATGGTCTGGATAAAATGGAGAAATGGTCTTGAAGTAAATAGGATGAAGTTCAATAAAGAGAAATGCAAAGTACTCCACTTAGGAATGAATAATGAGTTGCACACATACAAAATGGGAAATGACTCCCTAGGAAGGAGTACTGGGGAAAGGGATCTGGGGATCATGCGGATCACAAGCCATATATGAGTCAACAATGTAACTTCTCACAACAAAAGCAGGAGTGTTGTAAACAAGACACAAGAAGTAATTATTCTGCTCTACTCGGCACTGAATAGGCCTCAACTGGAGTATTGTGTCCAGTTCTGGGCACCATATTTCAGAAAGAAATATGGATAAATAGGAGAAAGTCCAAAGAAGAGCAACACAAAGTGATTAAAGGTCTAGAAAACATGCCCTATGAGGCAAGACTGAAAAAAAAAATGGGTTTATTTAGTCTGGAGAAGAGAGATTGATTGGGCACAGGATAGTTTTCAAGTACATAAAAGGTTGTCATAAGGAGGAGGGGAAAAAATATTCTCCCGAACCTCTGAGGATAGTGTAAGAAGCAAGGGGCTTATACTGCAGCAAGGATGGTTTAGGTAGGACACTATGAAAAACTTCCAAACTGTTAGGATATTTAAGCACTGAAATAAATTGCCTAGGGAGTTTGTGGAATCTCCATCACTGGATATTTTTAAGAGCAAGTTAGAGAAACACCTGCCAGGGATGGTTGAGATAATACTTTGTCCTGCATGGAGTGCAGAGAGATGGACTAGAAGACCTCTCAAGGTCTTTTCTAGTCCTATAATTCTATGATTCTATGTTACAAAATGCAAGTGAAAGTGACTAAAAGCACTTTTCTGTCAAGTTACTAAGCAGTAAAAAAGAGCTATTAGGAGATCAAAGCCCAAATTTAACTTGAGGTAACTTGCCTGCAGCACTATGAAATCCAATATTAAGGCAAATGTTTGAGGTATGAGACTAATGTCCTGACATGGTAAGGGAGGGCAAGATACTCAGATAGACAGATATTTTCACAATGAAAATAAAATAATACAAGTCTTTCGATATGTAATATATACCATAGCATCCCAAAATAAAAGTTTGCCCAGGCGTCATTTTCCCTATGGCTGACCCTGGCAGGGCCGGCCTTAAGTATGGGTGACACGGGTGAAGAGGGTGTTGCTGAAGATGCCTTGGTAATCACGAGAAAGTTTACAGTGGTTGTGGTGGCGAGGGAGGGAGTTGCCATTGTTCGCCCCTCCCCCCACACTCTCAGCAGTTACCAGTCACCGATACAGAGAACTGGTGTCTCCTGTTGATTTAATTGGGAGCTGGGTGTGCTCACCAACTCTGAAAATCAGGCCCATGCTCTTTGAAGGTGGAGGTGCAAAATCAATGGCAAGTATAACAAAAAATGGGATTCCCAGGCACTAAGAGACATTTGTCAGCTGAGAGAGGAGGGAGGGAGAAGACTAAGGTAAAAAATAATATGTTTTCCATAATAGAGGTTTTATCTAATTTGTTTTGTTTTATGTATATATAACTTTATTCATTTAATTTTAATTGTGTGTGTGAAACCATGAAACAATCCCATTTTTCCTGCAATTTTACTGAAAAAGAAAATCAATATTTAAGCATTCACCACAGGGGCTAAACTCTCCATTATAGAAACAAAAATATCTCATGTGAAAATCAGTTTATAAATGCACATCTCCTAGCCACCCAGTATCACAGGCACCTTATTGACAATGGCTTGAACAATGAGTCTCTCGAAGGAACTATTCTGATACCAACAAAATACAAGCAATTTGTGATCAGTCCGATTAACACTAAACTAAAAAAATCAAAGTTAACCTACTGTTCTCGTGCTGTAGCGTCTCTGAAAAATGAAAACAAATTGAAAACACAAATGTTGAAATATGTAATATGCACTGTAGCATCCTAATTTACACTAATGGACAAATTATTTGCACTGCTAAACATTCTTTGTGACATCCAGGTCATGTCTACACAGAGCAGGAAGATGCGATTCTCAGCTTGAGTGTATGTATACACAACAGCACTTCTCAAGCTTCTGCTTAAACATTGCAGTATGGTGGCAGCAGTCACTGACAAAGGCTTGGGCTAACTGACCAAATAGATAGATAGATAATGAAAAAAAGCCTTAAACATAATTTTATCTCAAATGTTACACTGTATTCACCATTATATTATCTTATAGGATGTGAGGACTAAAACAGAGACAGGGAGATAGATAGCAAGATTAAAGGGGAAAGACGTTGAAAACATTACAATGTGAGATAAAGTATTAAAATGTTTTGTGGCTAAAGACCACTCAAGGATGCTCAGGGTAGGGTGTGAACAAAGATTCTGCTGTCGTCTTTCCCTCCCATTTTGAGCTGGCTCTTCATTGAGATGTTTCCACCTTGCAGGAAGCAGCAGCCTAAAGGATGCTTTAAACTATTCTCATTACCAACAGATCCCAGGGGTACTGCAGATGGGAGGTAGTAGGAATTGAGCTATGTCCCCTTTTTCCTGGCCACGCCCCTTACCCAGGGCCAGAAGGAGGAGGAAATGTCAGCATATATATTGGCTGTACACCACAGAAATGCATCCTCGTGTAAGGCACTTAAAATCAGTTTAGACCAAAGGAAAAAATAAGTACAAAAGTTCTAGGCTAATTAAGTAACCTTCTATGAAAGGAAGTCCTCAACAGTTTTGTTTCAGGGTTTTAGAAAATCTGATGGTTAAAGAACTCTCCCAGGATAGACAATGAAATGAAGGATCTGTTTTCTTATTTAAGAATGTTCTTCTGATGGGAAATCCAGTTGTGAAATCAAAGAGAACTTACTGTTTTCGCTCTCGAGTTGGTCTGCAAAATAACATTGTGATTTCAATTACCAATTTGTGAACACGTATTACATCAACTTACTCAAGGAGCTGCAGAGCTTAACAATCATCGGCTGCCATTCTTCTCATTTGTCCACTTTCCTACAAACCACACCTGATCCATTGGCCAGATCTAGTAACAGCTCGGCATCTTATATTCCAGAACGAAACAAAGGAGAGGCCTTGGGCTTGCATAAAACTGGAGAACCACCCAACACCCCACTGATTCCTGTTTATAAATATCCATCTCCCAGCCACCCATTATCACAGGCACTTTATTGACCATGACTTGAACTCACAATCTGGTAGTGTAGACATGGCCTGATTTTCAGAGGCGACAGCAGAGTTGCGGGCTGGGGGAAGCAGTGGGGCCCAGGGGTGATGGAGGGAGTGGGTGGGGAGCCTGTGGAGGCAGTTGGGGGCCAGGGCCAATTGGGTGATGGGTCAGGGCTGTGGGATGGAGTGGGATGCAGGGGGGATGGGGGTAGCTGTGGGATGGAGTGGGATGCAGGGGGGATGGGGGTATGACTAGGGGAGGTAATGGGGGACAGGGTGATGGATGGGGGTCTGGAGGAGGCAGTGGGGGGTAGGTACAATGTGGGGAACCAGGAGAGGCAGCGGCGGCCAGAGTGCCAAAATATAAGTTTGCCCATGGTGGGCAACATGGGCGAAGAGCGTGTTGCTGGAGGTGCCTTGGCAGTCACCAGGAAGTTTACAGTGTCTATGGTGGTGCGGGAGGGAGTTGCCATTGTTCGCCCCTCTCCCCCGCACTCTCAGCAGATACCAGTCGCCTATGCAGAGAACTGGTGTCTCCTGTTGACTTAATTGGGAGCTGGGTGTGCTCAACAACTCTGAAAATCAGGCCCACGCTCTTCGAAGGTGGAGGTGCAAAATCAATGGCAAGTATTACAAAAAATGGGATCCCCAGGCAATAAGAGACATTTGTCGGCTGAAAGAGTATGGAGAGAGAACACTAAGGTCAAAAAATAATATGCTTTCCATTACAGAGGTTTTATCTATTTTTTTTCATTTTATTTATTTATAATTTTATTTATTTCATT